ACGCTGAACTGGACAGGTCCCCAAGTGCGTTTCCTAAATTTCACAAAGCAGCTGTGTCTCAGATGCTATCTAACAGTCTGAAATTCACACAGACATAGGGACAGGCGGTTCTGAAATCTTAATGGGTTGTCTTGAAACTTGGACTTAATAGTGTCACGCATCTATGCTTTGAAATAACCCTGGTTGTCACCTCTTTTTGCTCCATGCTGGTTGTGTGTAAAGCACAAGAGCTAGTTAAGTCTTGGAAAGAAACTCAAGGAACGGTGCCCATTCCCCACATCTGGGTTGACACGCAGTGTGCAACTTCCTGTCCTTAGCTCGATGGAAGGCTCTGCGGAGTGGGACACAGCAAGATCAAAGCAGCTGAAGCCCATAAAACTCATGCAGACAGTGGTACAATGCTGGTAACGGACTACTTTTCCATGGCCTCTACTTTCTAGGATACAGTTTTTGTGCTTGCAGGTAATTACAAGCACAAAAGTCAGCATATATATTGCTGTTCACAAAATTGCAATGGCAAATCACGTAGCTTGGCATGTAGCAGCCTTTGCACCGACAGTTAATTTCGAGGCTCAAAGCAAAGAACGACACTATATACCTGTGAAGAATGGAAGTAACTCAAGTTACAAGAAACCGTCATCTGCGAAAGGCTCTCAATGCGAAAAGGAAATTTTCTTCTATGTCACTGGTGACCTGGGATTACTAAAACTGAAAACATTTTAATATCTCTGCTGTGTGTGCATCATTCTCGATTTGGAAGTGAAAGCAGAGTGGTGACTCTCATTTTGCTTAGTTTCTAGGTAATTTCACTTGGAGGTACATAATTTTGTGCTGCAATGTGCGAGTACAATGGACAAACAGATAACAAAAGACCCTGCTGTTTAAAAGTCTTATTTTCATAGAAATGAAACCGAGTCATTTCTTTGTGCTTACATTCTGCTAATTTCACCATTTGGGTAATGACGTAATTCTTTTTCTTATGCTTTCTAAAAAAAGACCTTCTTGCCAAACCAGAGTTTGGTTAAAACTGGACTCACAACTCACTATAAACAAAAACCAGAAATTATTACTTTGAAACATGCTCCAGTTGTTTCAATCACCCATCTCACTAGACAGTATCTGGTAAGAAGAGCTTTTTGTCAAGTAACGCCAAGTTGGCTGACCACTAACACACACAGAGCAGCGCGGCTAAATGAACTACTTGTTTCATATGTTAGTCTATTATGATTTTATTTTTTTTCCCCTACAGCCCATATTTTGCATGTGCTATTTCTCTTTGAATTTGAGGCACGTTAAAATCCCACGTTTCCTGGGATAAAATGAAATTCCCACTTCTTCTTGTACAAATAGAGAATCTTCTATTTGTAGGTGATATTTCAATCCCAGACAGATTTAAATCTTAAGTATACTGTACTTAATTGTACTAACACCATAAATTTAAGGATTTATTTCTGGCTTTATTCTTTCTATAACTAACACTGGAATCTGGCCAAACACTCATAAGAATTAGCACACAGAAACTCCTGCAAGATTAATACAGAGAACAAACAAACAAGCCCAGCAGTATTTGGAGAAGGAAACCCTGTTCCTTGACTAGCACCTTTAAAAACTGAAATCCCAGAGAGACTGTAAAGTTCAGCTGCTTAAGAGTTAAAAAAAAACCCCAAACCCTATTGGAAACAGTCAGGCTTTTGGCTTCTACTAATAAACAAAAATCCGAACTCATGGTGAACAAGAAATTAGAAGGGCTGCTTTGCAGGGGACCCACAAAACTTAGGATGCTTCAGTGTAACATGAAAAAATCACTTTGCTGTTGTTTTCCACTGAGATTATTTTTTTTTCACCCCAAGCATGGAGTTTACTCACAGCTCTGTAGCAACCTCATGGTATTCAGTGGTATTTTGTTTAAGGAAGCCAAGGAACAAGCCCAGCATAGCGGCATCATAATGACTAATATTTGTATAGCACTGAAAAGCAAATGCTACAAGGGTTAAAAACTACTGGCATGCCAGCAGTGAAACACAGAGAAAGGCATCTTGTTCTCCCTTACAATACAGTAAAAGTAAAGTAATTTTGCTGCAACTGAAATGAGAACATCCTGAGGACAAGAAAGGTGCAGTGCAAACCAAGATATCTCAAAAAGGAAGAGTTCAGCTGCAACTAAAACATCTGAAGCCATGTGGACTGTGTGCTGCAGACTAAGTTGCTCCCACTGGACAATAAAGGCAGCTTAAGGAAATTTTTTCATATTAACATCTGCATTTTGACAATGTTTTTTCAAACCACGTTAAGCAACTCAACTGAGCTAAGACAATAAAAAAATGTACCCATTTTATTCAGCAGAGCAGGCCAATGGGATGTTTTAGATTTACACTGATGAAACACAGCCAGGCTCCAAGTCAAATGAACAGCTAATGGGTTTGAATTCTGGATTATGCCATGATAACTGGCTGGCTTTCAGGGTTGTGCTCTCAATTTGCTGTGGCCAAGGCGGTATCAGAACTGAATCAAGGCTGGTGAATGCTTCTTCCCATTCCACCGCTTCACTTCCAAGCTCACCCCTCTTCTGACTGACAGCACTTCGCTGAGCAAGAATGAGATGCCAAAACCCATGCCGAGTGTTTAACACCAACGCTGCTGGTGGTAGTGCTGAGTTCCAGCATTACTTGTTTGCAGGTTTACAAAGAGAAACATTTGTAAATTTGGTTATAAATCTAAATTGTAGATTTTCAATATATAAATGGCAATACTAATGCATTTGACCAGCTATGCTTTTAAAATCCGTATGGTCTCCTGATTTCACCGAACACCTTGCTCCATCCAAGACAACTTTTTGAATTCCACTGAAGGTACCGTGAATGTTGCCTGGGAACCAAAGATTTAGGTATGGTTAACAAAGGCACAGCTCCTTTAGCTTTGTTGCAGTTACAATTGCTTGACAGTAGTTAACTACTGGCTAGGAAACAAAGGGAGGTACTTTTATTTCATTCTTTAGTACTGACACTCAGGTGTAAACCTTTAATTAGACTAAGCATTTTGTGAAGAAACAACAATCATTTTATATGTAAAAGGAGATCAATGAAAAAATTAGACAGGACTGTAAAAATTAATGGAAAAATACATACAGCTTTGCAAAACCCCTCCTGTTTCCAGAAGCAGAGCTGGGCTTCCACAAGTGAAAACAACAGTGGCTTTAATAATCAAGGCAGTGGTAGGGTGACTTGTTTTTCCCCCCCTGGGTTGAGAAAAACACAGTCTGTGTGAAGCAGCAGATAGTAATTCACTGGCTTTCATGGTCTTAACCACAGTAATTAAAATAAAGCCTTATTTTGCTTGCTGTTATCTGACTTGAACGGAGTTGCACCAGAGTGAATCAGGGCTGAAGGCAGCATAGGGTTTGCTGTGTTAAAACAGCTCTTGCCAAGCCACTAAGGTGAACCCTCTGCCACAGAGGAAGAGGCAAAGCCTGTTTTTTATCAAGTTTTGCTTTGCAGACGTGGAAGCCTCAGCTCTACACATGGAGACGTGGAGGCCTCGGCCCTACACATGGAGCACTGAAGCTCATGTTGGCCTGTCACCGTGTTCTCCCTTAAAAGAGCTGAATTTAAACGCAGTCTGTGGTTTCAGTTGGAGGTAGAGCAGTGTGCTCGAGACAAGATTACAATGTGATGCCTGGCTGGTGTCTTTACACACACTTCTCCTCTAACATGCTAAAGTTTAAATCACCTCAGAGTCCCAGCTTGATTTTTCAATGGTTAAATGTGCTTGCAGTGCTTCTTATTCTTTCTCTGCGTTTCTTCGATACATTCATCTGTCTCCTCTTTTTGCCTTTTGTGTTTCTTCTTATGACATTTCTTTTGCTTTGCCTCATAGTCCTTTATGCTGAGATCTTCCCCATCAGATATTCCCATATAAATTTCTCCATTGCCCTTATTTTCATCATAACTAATGTTTTCCCCTTCGTGCTGATCTTTATATTTCCTTTTCTTTTTCCCTGGGTGACATTCATTTAATGGAGCATCCAGTTTCTTTCCATTCAAGCTACCTATCTTACACTGTTTCACTTCTGGTTTCTTGCAATGCTCTGTGCTCTCTGCTTCATCTCTCTTCTGCTTCTTCTTTTTCTTTTTGACTTTGGTTTTCAGTTCTTCTGAAGGCTCCAAAGCTTCGTCAGCTGTTGAGCAGGAATTTTCTGCCTTTGCTTCTGTTTCATTCTGGGATCCCTTCAGTTTTGCCATGCGCTCAGCGAAATATTCCTGTACAGTGAGAACACTCTTCACTGTATTGTAACCGTCCTCAGGCTCAGATAGCCAGTGGTTTCTCTTCTTCTCTTCTTGAGACTCAGGATCGGTGATATCCTCCTGCAGGTGAACAAAGAGGAGCAGGAGCGAGAGTCAGAAATAATGTCTTTAAACATAACGTTATTTTTTTTGAACACTAATAAGAAAAACACTTAAAAACCATAAGATGCTTTGAAAATCAGTTGTAGAAGTATAGACTTGGGCAGAAGTGAGAGGCAGCCCTTAATGCAAAAGACAGCAGAGGTTTAGGGAGAAGAGGTGGCAGTATGGAAAGTAGCAATAAAATACAGAACAAGACAATTCTCTGTTGCTTTGAATTTCTTACTGTTTATCTACTCCTGTGCAACTCATGCACATCATGTATAATACTATCATACTTAGTGTATCACACTCACTGTGCAAAGGCACACGTCTCTCCAAGATATAAAACAACATGAAAAATAACACAGTACAATCTATTAGCCTGTGGCATAAAGGAAATCCCATACCTGGAATACCTCTACAGCCAAGTGCAAGAACTTATGATATACGGAGCAATTCAGCATTGATGCATCTCTTCCATCTTATCTGATCTTTAGAAATGTTTGTTTCGTAGCTGGTTTACTGTCATTGTGTCCCAGATGTTGTTATTTAAACACGCTCCATTTGATCATACGTTATCAGATGGCAAAAACAACATCACAGGTTAGATCTTACAAGGCTTCTGCATACACAAAATAAATAGCTGCTGAACTCTAGCTGCAGGTGAATATCTATAAAGAGTCTAGTATCTAGAAAGTAAATCTAACACAAAAAGCAAAGTATAGCTCTAGAGCTGGATGTTATGTATGGCATGAAGAGAATTGACTCTGAAAAAGCAACAAATGCAACACGATGAAAATACATAACTTGTTAAATTATTTGTGACTTAGAAAATAAACAAGGCAAAAAGACAGCTGAAGTTCAGACTGGTTTACATGGATACTGAAGCACTCAAAAATAACCCTTTGTGGCATATCCTTTTGCTTGGCAAAAGTCACAAATGACTCTTGGGAATTGTCCCAAATTTTTCATTGCTTTTTTTTTTTTTTACTGCAGGTAACCAAGCACACTCCCCCTCGATAGGAAAAGTTGAGCAGGTGAGAATTGTGTAGAATCCTTAACAAGATCTGGCCTATAACATGCTTCTTGAACGAGAGGTAATCCACAGCTATTACAGTCAAATGTGGTGAGTACGACAGATACTTCACTGGTTTTCCATTCATCCATGCAGAGGTAAGTAAGAGCATCCGCTTTACCCATGCATCTTGTATGTGAACTTAAGTGACTATAAAATGCAACCACATGAGAGCAGTGATAATTCACACCCACTTTCACCGGCATAAACTGATACACAGGGCAAAGGTCACCAGCAAACTGAGAGATCTAAAACCACTTATCTCAACGCTCTATAGTTATTGCGTGATGGTGTAATAAGTGATCACAGAATCATAGAATGGTTTGGGTTGGAAGGGACCTTCGAGATATCTAGTTCCAACTCCCCTGCCATGGGCAGGGACACCTTCCACTACACCAGGTTGCTCAAAGCCTTATCAAAGTTGGTCTTGAACACTTCCAGGGATGGGGCAGCCACGTCTCTGGGCAACCTGTGCCAGTGCCTCACCACCTTCAATGTGAAAAATTTCTTCCTTAGATCTCATCTAAATCTCCCTCTTTCGGTTTAAAGCCATTGCCCCTTGTCTAGTCACTACACGCCCTTGTCAAAAGCCCCTCTCCAGCTTTCTTGTAGCCCCTTTAGGCACCGGAAGGCTGCTAGAAGGTCTCCCTGGAGCCTTCTCTTCTCCAGGCTGAACAACCACAATTCTCTCAGCCTGTCTTCACAGCAGAGGTGCTCCAGCCCTCTGATCATCTTTGTGGCCTCCTCTGGACTCACTCCAACAGCTCCAGTGAAGTGATCTGGCACTTTACAGGGCATCATTAAACCTGCTAGCTGAAGTGGGGTTTATTAGGGTTTATGAGTAAGGTTTTGCAGGTCTGACTCTTTATGCATCCGTAACATTTACTCACTTGAGCAGGACAAAGGAATGCAAAAATTTGTGTCATTAGTGATGCATTACGAGTAGTGATTTCCTCATACATCTGCTTTCAAGAGAGCTATTCCAGTGGAACGAAAGTAACGCTACACTTGAGATTCCAGTAATGTTTGTGTGGGCACTTATAAAAATTAGGTACTTTTCTTGTAGGAATCCCTTGTACTGTACCTTTCAGGTAAGTTTACGAAGCAACTGAAACTATTTGACTTCTGGCGAAGAAGTCTGCAAAGAGATCTTGAACCTAGGGGATAAAAAAAGCACGTATCTACACACAACTACACACACAGGTTACGTTTGAAAGCAGAGCCGCAGTGTAAGTTTGACAAGACAGAATCCACAGAATAAACAGATTGAGCTACGTTTGTAGTCGCTCTCTTTTTAATAAGATAGACCTCCCAACCCAAGCAAGCAGCGTTAGTGCGGATCGAAAATAGATGCCCTGCTAAAGCAGAGGTAAAACAGGTCACTTTCTTTTCTTTTTCCTTCTACCCACAGCAGGATTTTGACACCTTGTATTGCAAAATGACAAAGTCTCCCAGGTTTTCTGCCGCAGATGCCAGCCAGAACAGTTTCCCTCCCCAGCCCAATATGTAAAACGTACTTGTGACCAGAACACCAATTACCCCCTGGCCAACCAGGAAAGGATTTTCTCATTCCCTTGGTGACTTCAAGTCCTGACAACTTAATTACTGTAATTGAAGGCAAATATTACTTGAACTCTACACATTTCTTTTATAAAATACATTAGGCATTAAAAAAAAAGTTCCTTTGGTTAAGCTGAGGAGTTCAGGAGGTATGCATGATCCCAGAAAATAAGAACCTTGCTCAGAAACTCCTTTATTGATAAGAATTTTAATAACCACGGGCCACTGAACACAGAACTAACAGGGCATGGAGACAAGCAAAGAGGTGCCAACCCTAGAAAACCTCTCAGTTTAGGAAAAGCTTATGTGAAACCATAAATCACCTGGAAAGGCTGTTAAATGCCAGAAGTGTTCCCCCTCCCATGATGTACCTGTCCTAGTAGCCATGGGAACACCGCTGAACTCTAAACATGAGTTTTCTCTAAGCTCTCGACACGAGACTCACAGTTTATTCTGCTTCAAAGGTTTCAAAGAAAAATCAGATCTACACACTTAAATGTGTACTCTGTTGCCGCAACTTCTAAAAATCAATTTATTTCAGAAGATAAAAGACATAACTACTGTCTATGAACTACTCAGGGATATGGTTTAATGGGGGATTAGGGATGGTTGGACTGGATGATCTCTAAGGTCTTTTCCAACCTAAAAATCTATGAAATCTATGAAAGAAACACTCCTGCTCCACTAATGATCACGTAAAAGGAAAAGAGCAATCGTGCTCTAACTGGTGGGAGGCTGAAGATGGGGCTTTGGAGGAGATACCTGTGTCCACACTGTGAGTTCCAAAATTGTCCATGAAATCAGGCTGAGAAGACGAAGTTAGAAGTTGTTGGGAATACTGACCTCTAGGGAATTGGTAGGATGGTCCCAAGCAAGAGAAAAGAACTGCTTGAAACATGGTGTTTATTAAACGTGGAATGAGTAAAAGGAAACAATAGGAAAATTCAAGGAGAAGCTGGGAAGTGCACAGGAAAAGACGAAGGTCAATTATAGCCAGAAGTCCCCTGTAAATATCATCTGTTTATGTAATTAGTTAAATGTATGGAAAATAATTAGAAGCACATAGAGCACCTTAAGTACCATCATTTTTTTTTCTGCCTGCTTTCTTCACTTGAGACACACAATGCTGATTCAATCATTAAGTTAGTACACTAAGCTTAGAGAGTGAACTCCTGGTTCCCTTGATTCCTGCAGGATCAGGATTGCATCTCTAAGGCACCATACTCTCAGAGCACCTTTCAACCACAGTTATTTAGTGAAGAAAAAAATAGAGGATTATGGTCAATTATACAGAGAAAACAATTCACATCACATCGTGAAAACAATCTGGCAACAGTAGAAGCCCAAAGTGAAAAGTATTTAGGCACCTCATGAAATCAAATGAGTTCAAAACCCAACTATCTTGGGAGATTTAAGACCTTTGGTCAAAGAATTAGGCCAAGTGCAAGGTCCTGCATGTGGGTTGGGGCAATCCCAAGCACAAATACAGGCTGGGAGGAAAATGGATTGAGAGCAGCCCTGAGGAAAAGGACTTGGGAGTGCTGGTGGATGAGAAGCTCAACATGAGCCGGCAATGTGCGCTGGCAGCCCAGAAAGCCAACCGTGTCCTGGGCTGCATCCAAAGCAGCGTGGGCAGCAGGTCGAGGGAGGGGATTCTGTCATCCCTCTGCTCTGCTTTCGTGAGACGCCCCCTGCAGTGCTGCGTTCAGCTCTGGGGTCCCCAACATCAGAAGGACACGGAGCTGTTGGAGCGGGTCCAGAGGAGGCCACAAAGATGATCCGAGGGCTGGAGCACCTCTGCTATGGAGCATGCTGAGAGAGTTGGGGCTGTTCAGCCTGAAGAAGAGAAGGCTCCAGGGAGACCTTCTAGCAGCCTTCCAGTACCTAAAGGGGCTACAGGAAGCCGGAGAGGGACTCTTTACAAGGGCATGTAGTGATAGCACAAGGGGCAATGGCTTTAAACTGAAAGAGGGGAGATTTAGATCAGATATAAGGAGGAAATCATAGAATCATAGAATGGTTAGGGTTGGAAGGGACCTCAAAGATCATCTAGTTCCAATCCCCCTGCCATGGGCAGAGAAATCCTCCACTACACCAGGTTGCCCAAAGCCTCATCTAACCTGGCCTTGAACACTTCCAGGGATGGGGCATCCACAACTTCTCCGGGCAACCTGTTCCAGTGCCTCACCACCCTCAATGTAAAAAATTTCTTCCTTATATCTAATCTAAATCAGCCTGTACTTGTGCTTGGGATTGCCCTGACCCACGCGCAGGACCTTGCACTTGGCCTTGTTGAACTTCATGAGGTTCTCACAGGCCCACGTCTCCAGCCTGTCAAGGTCCC